CTAAAACACTGAATACTTCCGTGCAATCAAACCTCTTTAACCGAATATATGTCCATGAATATATTATTATATTCCGAGTGTTCATATACTTTTTTTTTCACATTTCGGAAGCATTTGGTCTACTTATTTACTACACCTGATTTACTGCGTTCTCCTCATTTTTATGTAAATGCGTATTTATTTATGCATGTGTTTTCGATACGTCTTTCATATGTTTTCAAACAGCCACCCTGACGGGAAAGTGGTCAGTGACGCTGACCGCTGTACACCATTACCTCTTGTGAAGGGACAGACAATCTACCATGAGGTAAATTGTCTCTCCCTTCACAGGAGGGAATAGTGGCAAACCTATTAGGTGCCTCCATAATAAAGTGACCACAGATTCCGGCCCTAATAGTGGCCAACGCCTATAAATTCTAATGCCAGGCTCTGAAAATTAAAAAAAAAAAAAAAAAGAAAGAAAGAAAATGTGTTCATGCTATCGCATATGGATGTATGATAAATTCGAAACAAAACATTACATTCCATATTATAACATTAAACTTTTTAGTTATTAAGCTTTACTGGAAAACGGTTCATTCAGCGTAATAGCTCAGGCATTTGAATTTTTTGTGAACATTTATGAATTTGGATAGTTTTTATTTAATGGATTTCCCCGTCTGTAAATATATATACCAGATACTGTTATGAGGCATGTAGAATTTCATATTTAAAAGTGTATCATGTAACTTTATCAATTTAAACAGCCAAATCATGCAAAATCAAGTTATATGTTAGGTAAATTCTGACAGACTCAGTAATATTTGTACAATAAAGGTCGACACTGAAGAAGTTATTAAAATCTGCAACTAATTTGTGATCAAACATGTGGATAGAAAAGAAAAGCAAATGTTACAAACAGGAGGAAGTAATCATCAGCACTTATTCAGTCAAGTACACTGGCTTCCAAAAATTAACCACACGACGGTGAAATCAACAGAAATGGAAACATAAAGCTTTTCTGCACACACTTTTGGATCATTAATAAACTGATGTTAAAAGCCGAAAAAAAATTACATCAATAAGGTATGCGATATTGCGGATATTCATAAAATCTTTACAGCGCTTGTCCTTGCTTTCAGTGAAGTGAATAGCTATCGCAGATGTTAGCAGTAGCCATTCCTTCATAAGCAAAGCTTTAAATTGCTTAAAAAGTAGCTAAAGGATGTAAATGAGCGAAACCAACACGCTCAAGAGCATCCCTAAGAATTTCAATGGCGTTAAGCGGGAAAAAATGCCATGCCAATTAGAAATGCCATTATTCTCCAGGTACTCGTTAACAATGTTGGCTCAATGAAGGTCAGTATTATCATCCGAAAGCAATACTGTCATTCGGCCTCACAATGGGCATATCAGGATTTCATTTTGATACCGCGCAACCTTCACAGAAACATCTTTAAAGTTGCCCATCTGGTTGCGATATCCCATAGAAATTTCAGCCCAAAGCATATGAATCTGAATGAGTGATATCCAATGATATTCTAGAGCTAATGTCTTGTACCTCGTTTCCTCTAGACCGTTACATAATTATCATTTGATTCCAAGGCAAATCTGGACTGGTCCGCGAAAAGGACATTGCGCTAACTTGAGATAATTAATTGAGATGTTTGCGACACTATTTTAATCTTGCTCTTTTAGACTGCGCGGTTAGTGAAACATAAATCTCTTGATACTAGGGCCTAAAGTCTCTTTCTATTAAGCCTTCGGCGCACAGTATTGCCATATGATTGTCTTACAAGTGATGTTGCAATTATGGATGTAACAACTGTAGAGGTCGTTCGTCGATTCTGCTTGGCAATATGACGATCTCCAGAAGGTATGGTAATCCTTGATTGACAAGGCACAAGTCTCCCCACAACTGTTTGACTTGTTTGGAATTGTTTTCGCATTTGAGAAATTACCGAATGATCAACTCCAAAAAAAAAAAAAAAAAAAAAAAAAGAGCAACATCTTTGATTGACTGTCCTGTTTCAGTGCCTGCGACAGCACACTAGAGTTCATTACTCACCCTTCGCCTTCTTTTATCCATAGGAGCAAGAATATCATCAAAACTTAGCCTACGAAAGCCATAAATACTTCGTATTAGAATTTAAATGAACCTCCACAAACCTTTCAGAATATTCCGAAACTATAATATAATAAGTGTACAGGAAAAGTCCTGTAAGTTTGGTTCAAATACAAAATACCATCTGCAATGGAAAATATCACAAGCAACTATAATTAAATGTACATCTATAAATTCAGAAGTTATGATACATTATACTTATGATGCATAGCTGACTGAAAATAATGGTCGATCATAAGCCGATTGACATATTCGTGTTTAAAAAGACTCCTTTAAAAGTGTAAACAGGTAAATTTTTTATGACAAAACTTCTATAACACACATTCGCTTCAAAATATAATCTGACTGAATGATTACACAAGCTAACTAATTGTCACCTTTTTTATTCGTGCCAATGATATTGAATTTTATAAGTAAGCAATAATACCAGTGATACTGAATTATAAGAAAGGGGTGAGAAAGTTTATCTTTGGTATCTGTAGCCATCAATTTGTCTTTCTGTCCCTCTAGTATTCCAGATTTCCATAAGTTGTCGCAGACAACACAAAACGATTCATTCTATTAATGATTGCTCCTAAATCCCTGTGATAATTGAAAGTTCATCATAACAACTGACAAGTTACCCGCCTCCAATGTTTACATACCAATATGACAGAGTTACTTGAACGAATAAAAATTGTCACTGGCATTTTCTAAATAATGTTATTTTGTAGTTAGTTACGAAACAAAGTAGTTTTGATGCTTTTTGATGCATGCGCAAGTTCGAGGAATTTATTTTATTAATACTGCTATTATTTTATACGTATGTATCTTATAATTTATAAACGCACTATGTATTAAAATTAGTAATTATGTTCGCATTTGAAGTTACAGCCGCTTTCTGTTAAATACTCGATTCAGAATTAAAAGTTATATTTCTAACGCAATTCAAAATTTTGTCAACATTTCGAATTTTTTAACAAATATCATAAGTTTTAAAGTGTTAAAACGTCGTGGAACAAAGTCAGGAGTAATTATTAATATAATAATAACCAAAATAATAAATACTGAGAAGTTAAAAAAGAATAAATGATATCATCTCTCTCAAACTGTTATCTTGAAACTCATTCATCTCAAAGTATCTTCAAAATAAAATAAAAACAGTTCACATAATGCAAATCATAAAATTAGATCATAATAATTAGTTTTATTCCTAAGGATTGTGTTATTGGAACTTTAAAATTCAGAGTTTAAAATATGTAAAAATAACATCTTACTTATTTTCGAAAACTTTTTTTTTTTTTTTTTAAATTAGGATGCTATTTTATATTGCTTTACAAATCGTTGCCATCCAGAGCTTCGAAACAAAGAATAATTCAATTTTGATATTTTCCAATGTTTTCAAATACTGAACTATATTTTTGCATATTAACAGTTCTAATAAACTTTGTGAATAAGCATGCCAGAAGAGCCAAATATTAAACAAAAATCTGGCGGAACCTTTTTCAGAACTCCGAACAGTAACAATTTTTACAGGAAAAAGTATCCGGAATAAATCATTCGGATATTTTCATCAGTTTTCATCCCAAATGTAAATAGTATAAAGAATATAAAAAAACATGTATGGAAACATTTAATACTCTAGACGTGAACATTGATGATGTGACTGCGTCCACTGCACACATATTTGCCTTTTCTAATGTAAGATTCGTAATATGCATTCAAACCCTTCCACGTAATCAAAAATGTATAGCACATACATGCGGCTGTTGAAATGACGATGTGATTTCTTTGAATAATTTATCAGAGTAAAATTCTTTCCTTCTAAATTTAATTCCATATGGTAATTTAGAATGTACTTTATTTTCATCTGTCTCGGCGGTCCACCTGATTAACCCGTATAAAATAATGTTTTACGCAGAAAATGCCGCCCCTAAAATATGCGCCGCCTGGCGCAAAACGCCCCCCCCCCCGTCTAGCTACGCCTCTGCTAATAATTAGGATTCAGTTATACGACAGTTACTGCAATTGAGAACCGTAGCTAGGGTTTTCGCACCCCCTCCTATTTGCAGGGCTTAATTTCTAAAAGTAGAAGTGCCGGAGCCCTATGAAAGACCATCACGAAAGAGGAACAAAAGTAAATAAATAAACAAAATGACTATTAAAATCATTAATAATTTTAAAATTAAATAGTTAAAATGAGCATCAAATTAATTAATAATTATTTAATTGATATTAATAATTCATATTTATTAATTATTATTTAACTTGTAAAATAATATTAATATTTAACTTGTAATTATTGTTTAATTAATTCACAATTTATTATTATTTATTAAAATAATTAAAGTAATTAAATAATTACAATTAAATAAAATGTAAAGAGATAAATTAAAATTTAATAAGCTATTTTTTTTATATAATTTTATTGCTAAAAATAAAATTTTCTAGATTAAATTTCTACTAAAATAATTGTTCCGTTACATAAAAATGTGCCGGAGCCTTCTGATTTAGGGCGCCGGTGCGTTCCGACTAGTATTAGAATATATTTCCAAAACTAAGAAGTACCGGAGCCGGCCTCCGGTGGGCTCCGGCGCAATTTAAGCTCTGCCTATTTGCTAAGAATGGAAAACATTTCATTCCAAAATTTCGTAACATCAATTTGGTGCCCCATGGTTGCTGCACCCGAAGACCTTATGCCCCCTTACTCTCTCGAGCTACTCACTACTGCGACTTACAAGAGCACAGCTTATTTAGGAATTTCGCTGTGGCTGTAATTAAGATTTCTGATAACTGAAATTATTGGAGGAAGACTCCGGTGAGATTTAAGCCCCGAGTCAAAAACATAATCAGAAACAAGATATTAAAGAAACTCTTATAAATCTGAGTACTTAGCATTGAAAATTTGAATGCTTACCGCGAGCTGCTGGAGATTTGGGTTGTTTAGGACGGCCTTGTTTGTTGCGCCATCTTTTAGCAGAAATAGCTACTATTCCAAATGTCACCGTGAGAATTAGGCACTGTTGGAAGATCCTAAAACAAGGAAATCGGGAATGACAAAAATGAATTTTACTATTGCTTTAAAGCAGTTTTAAAAATCAGCATGCTAGGAAGAAATAAATTCATTCACTACGAAAAATGATTTTTAAAGTATTTTAAGTATTTACTACAAATACTCTACAGTTAAAACATCAATTTCATTAGTTAAATAACAGAATATACGAAAGTGAAAAAGAAGTTTCATTCTGATTTTTTCACGAGGTAAATAAATATTAATTAATAAAAAAATAATTAACGCCAAAAGTTCTCTTTCTCACCTCTAACTTAATAATCATGAAGTATCAATTATCAACAGGACAAGTTTAAAACTTATGAAATTTTGGTGAGCCTAATGCATTTAACCTAAGGCAGAAGAAAAGCACTTCAGATTAATTTCTATCAGGGCTGGTACAAGAGCCGGAGTAGCATAATTTTTGGAATTTAAAGTACACAACAGGAAAAAAATTCAGGGATGGAAAAATTTTTAGAATTTAAAAGCAGCAGCAAGCACCAGAATTTAGGCGCAAAATTTTTAGAATTTAGGGAGGGGCCGGGAAGCGAAATTTAGTACACGCAAGAGTACTAAATTCCGCTGCTCCGTCATCAGCGGCAAAAAGCCTAGCGGTCGGGGGGAATAAAAAACCTAGCGGCGGCTCTAGTATTAATAAATAAATTACTAAGTGTTATCAGAATTACCAAAAGTCATGTTGTTCTGTTTTAACTGCGAACTTGATAAGCATATTCTAAAAATTGTCTGTGCTACATTTTCTTTATGAAATTCAAAACTGTTATTAAATTTTATATAAAAAAATTCACATCTAAGTACGTGTTTTTTAATTATTGTGAACTGGCAGAAGCAGATGTTTTAATAAAAATGACAAAATGGGGTCCAGAGGCTTTCTGAGCATGTATTTATTAATTTAACTTTTAATTTAATATAAAATTAGTCATCTTAAGGAATTTTCTTTTGCTGCCAAGAAGGAAGATAAATATCAGTTTCATCTTTTAATACAAAATATCTGATTAAAATGAGTGCCTCAAATGTCATCATAAAATAATGTTCAATAATATGTATAATTTAATATTAGTTTTACCAAATTATTTAAGGATTTTTCTATTAAGACATTAATTAATTCCGTAACTAGGGGAACCGTATTCATTGTACTTATTGTTCGGGTATTAATATTAACTGAAATAAGTCATACTGCGAAACGCCAAGCATTGAATTACTGAAGTTGAGTTTCATTTGAATGAAACACACAAACGCTAAATTTTGTTTAAACATAATTTTTTAAGGTTTAAACTTTTGAAACAAAATTTAAAATACCGAAGAACATTATAACCAGTTTCTTTTCGTTTAATTCACAGGTGTTTTCTTTTTATTTCGATTGGGAGAGCCGTTATTGTGATTTAACCTCTTAATGCACTCAACGGAGTTAACTCGGGTACAGCTAACTAAATTATTTCTGCGCACCCGAGTAAATACGTTCAAGTTTTTTTCCTCAAATATAAATACAATGGAATATATCCGCTACAGTACTAATCTCAAATAAAAAAAGAGGTTGAGTTAAAATAAAGAATAAAAAATTTGTCTGCAAAAAGACCATTTTCTGAATTTTTATCGGTGTATTAAGGGTGTGCAATGTAAGCAAAATCCAGTCATTCAGAAAAAAATTCTACTATTATTTTAAATTATAATATTTTTACCAGGATTGTAATTCTGATGAAACTACATGAGATGCTAATTCTTTACATTGTCGATTAACAGCTGTAAAATTTACCTTGCAAATTAATATTTAAATACCAGAGGTGATAAAAATAAACCACTCAGCTAGATTATGCTATTCATCACTTAAATTACAAGGCTACTGTTCTACCGTTTTTAACTCCATCTGCATAAATGCATACCTTAGACATTTTTCTCCCCCTTAACCTATATATCTTGGACAAACTTAAGTCATAACAGGAAATAACTGTAGCTTTGCAAACAGGCTGTTCTTGTGTAGTAATGAGAGAACAGTTTGCTTGCCATTGCAACAATCTCTGCTTAGCTCAAATGGCTTCCGGAAGACGAAGTAAAGCGTAAAGAGGCGCTGAAGTTTGTCAAAGAAGAACAGAGCCTAATTGCAGGGGTGGTAAGAAATTTAAGGTAAACGAGGATTGGGAACGTGACGAGGATATTTGAGGATCCCTAGACTCATGTCCCTTGCCTAACGAGGCCTAATCACTCACCGTAAACTATGTTAGGGGAACTTCTTTCCAGAACAAACCGAATTGTTTCTGCTTGCTCTGTTCGTGGCAACCCTTCTCGATGCTTAGAGTTGGAAACCAACAAAAGAATTCCTTCCTTTTTGTTTCAGAAATGCTTTTCAGAAGTAAAATTTTAAGTGGAAAGGGAGGGAAAGTTCCTTTCCACTTAAAATTTTATTTCAGTAATGATTTGCTCTTTAAAAAAAAATTTCATTTTACGATAATGAATGGCAATTAACAACGAAAGCCTTTTTATTTATAATTTCTATAAATGGAAATTGAATAACATTCAATAATGAAATTTAAAGCCACATCCATATGACAGTGTAGCTGTAAATTTTTATTTCATACTGTAAGGATTATGTTAATTTTATTAACAGTTAAATTTTAAATTCCTTTCCTGTCAAATTCTTAACTTCAACTTACTACTTCCGGCCAGAACATAGTTTTGGAATTTGCTGAATATTTAATGAGAAGGAGCGGTATTTAAACCACGAAGTTACTTACCGAGACAGAGAGAGAATCAGAGTTTCTGAACTACGCGCGTCTGCCTTTTTGGCCGTTCTCTCTCTCAAAGCTGTTTTTACGCTCGGCCGTACTCAGGCCCTTGCTAAGCTTCGTAGTAAAATAAGTTAAGGGGCCAACTCTAATTGAACCTTGATAGCTTTGGCTATACTTATTTAGTTAATCTTAATTTTAGTTTAATTCTTAGTCTTTTAAGTTCAAGTCCAACGTGCGGGCTTTACTTGTACACTCCCAGGCGGAGTTTTGTTAAATCTTATCGAAATAATAAAGGGTTAGTTACCCTTCTCTCTTGTTGTTTCCTGTTATCGAACTCTAGCGATTATTCGCTTATCAGTTCTTAGGTTCCTCATTTCCAACATTAATTTAGAATTCCAAAGTGAGGTACCTTACAATACAATTATGCATTTTTCAGAGGAAATAATTAAAAATTTAAGATTTCCTAGTTTCTGCATCAAAAATGTTTAAGAAACACTCAGTCTTTCTCAAATATCAAAGTAATTAGTAAGTAAGAAGAAAATAATATATTCCAGGGCTGATATAACTTCATGTCATTAAAAGCCGGAAGTTAAAATTCAAAAGTATTCAAGACACTTGAGTAGATTTTCCAAGAATCACGACCATTGTATATACATAGAGAGAGAGAAATATATATATAGAAAGAGAGAAAGATAATAAGAATTTTTTAAAAATTTGCTATTAAAAATTATCTCATTCTAGGAAAAATTGTTTAGGGTATTAATATTGCCTTTTGTTAATTCATAGTTAAATGTTAAAGCTCGAAAAAGGAAAATTAAAGTTGGGAAAAATATTAATGGAAGAAACAAATAAAAGCTATTAATCACCATCTTTTTAATCCTTTAAACAGAACTTTTCAACGGGTTACTATTTAAAACATTAGACCCGAATGATGTATATAGATAGATGATTTTAAGATTAGTAAAACTGTTCTCGAATAGAAAGATTTGAAGTAAAACAAAGGAACATCTCATTTTCTTACTTTATGTAGTATTTTATAACCATAAATAAATAAATATTATAATTCATGTTCTGTATTTAGGAAAGTATGTTGCTCTGCTGCATAAATTTTGAGCTTTTGTACTATGTCATGGACGCTGTTTCTTAAGAAAGAAAAGATTAGAGTTTGAGTTAGACTTTACGAAGCATGGCATTCTGATGACCTGTGATATTAGTTTTCCATCATTCTGCAATAAACAAACGTTACATTTTTTTAGATAAGGCCTGTAAAATACACTCATGTCCATAAATTAAGGATAATTCGGAGTCATGCGGAAATCGAACTCTAAAATAAATATATCACCTGTAAAATCACTACACACATCTTCAAGAATCATATGCAAATTTCAGGAAGTAACCAGATGACACCGATGGTACGTCACAATGACGAGAGTGTTAGAGAGTGATATATAAGGAATACAGGCAAAGAAGTAATATTGTTCGCAGGCGCTTTATAAGCATTTCAGTGCAATAACCGAATAGTTATGACACAAAGGACGCATTTGCATGATTTCTTACGTGGTAGAATTATCGGCCGTCTGGAATGTGGGCGTACCCAACTGGAAGTATCAGACGAACTTGGAATTGCCCAGAGTGTCATCTCCAGGCTTTGGCAACGATTCCAAGTTGATGGTAATGTGAGTAGACATTACAGCACAGGTCGCCTCAGAGTTACAATGCCGAATGAGGACCGGTATTTGGCTGTTACTGCCAAAAGAAACAGGCGGAGCATAGCCTCAGACCTGTCTCGTCAGCTCTCTTCAGCCACTGGTGCGACAATTTCAAGGCAAACCGTGTACAGACGTTTGGGACAGACTGGTCTATATGCTGGAGGGGTTTTAAGATGTATTCCGCTGACGGCAACTCGCTGTCGCCAGTAGTTAACGTGGAGTAGAGAACATGCAATGTGGACATCGTCAAAGCGGGCTTGTGTGATGCTTTCCGACGAGGTCAGGTTTAACTTGCAGTCTGCTTCACGTCGGACTTTCATATGGAGAACTCCAGGCTCCCACTACCGCCAAGACAACATCATTGAACGACACCTTTACAGTGTTGCAGGACTGCTCGTTTAGGGTGGAATTATACTGGGCTCCAGAACAGATCTGCATGTTCAGATAGGAACCATGACAAGCCATATCTATCGGGACTTCATTCTGTAACAACATGTACGTTTGTTTCGGGGCACCATAGGCGCACAGTTTGTG